AAACTTTAACAGTAAAAGGGAGTTCTCAAATTATCTTCTACTTTTTATCAAACACATAACATGAATAGTAATAGGTAAAGTTCTTCTTCCTCTTCTAACTTCATGTTATCAAACGCGCCCATAGTGTAGAATCTCCTATTAGTTTCATGAAGGCATGAGGCTCTCACATTTTCAGTTATTTATTACCATAAAAAACTGATGATAGCTTTTTTAGGGCATGTTTTTGTGCCATTAATTGTAATAGGGCTTAATTGCATGTTTTCTAAATGATTTTTACCAAGAACTGGCCGAAGGCATACGCTGTGTCCTTAGATTCCTACATTGCTCACAGGACAAAATAACCATATATCACAGAAGAAGGACAAATAGGTACACATCTTCAAAATCATATTCTTTGTTTATCATGTTGGTTAATCATATTTGTTTTAATATTTGAGATTACAAATTTCATTTCAGGAATAGGCTAAGGCCCTCAGGATTGATGAGAATGACATTGCACTAAGTTTATGGCCTTTAACTAACGATGCTCAAATTGACTTAGTCACGAGATCAGGGCAGTATCCTCTAATCATGGTTGCTATGACTCACCACGACCGTGGCACATTGGCTATTATTGTTGAGAGGTGGCACTCAAAGACGAACATCGGGTACTTCAATATAAATGTCAGAGAGATGCCTACTCTTGAAGATGCATGAGGAATTCTCTGGTTAAGGGTGACAAGTGTACTTGTAGCTTTTAGGAGAATGGACAACTATGGAGAATTTATAGAATAGATGCTAGGAGAGTTGCTAGAAGGTACTAACTATTATGTTATTCAACTGACTTGGTTGAGGAAGGAGTTTAATCAGCTACCATAGAACTGTAATCGGCGTACCCTGTAACGACACACCCATGCCTACCTCCTGTATCTAGTCAGCTGCACAATCTTTGCAAATTCCACAGATGGTACGGTGTGCATTATATTTGCAAGGTTTTTAGGATATTGACGTTGTTGGTCAGTATGCATGGAGTGCAGCTGCCCTAGCTTATTTGTTTCAATCCTTGTCAAAGATTATTCATCTTGATGACCAACACCTAAGTGGATCCGCCCTTATTTTGCTAGTAAAGTTATTATTTAAATGTTTTGATAGATATTTGGTTGTAATACTTCTTTTTTTATGCATGCATTCTAGTGTTGGGCGTACAAGAACTTCAAATTGTTGCGCCCAATACGCAAAGACATCCAGGCATGGCTCCCTAGATTCCTCAAGTGGGCCCCTCCTAGAGCATGGGATAACGCTCACAAATTCCATCTCGTGGAGCACCAAGAAATCAATAATACACAGATAAATGATGTTGGTATAAAAAAAGTTTTCACTGACCTTGTTTACTTAAGTTTCAATAAATTTTTGGTAGAGGTTATTTACTCTAAATTTTTCTCTTTTTTTGTGATAGGTCATATGGATTCCATATGATGATTTTCTTGATTTAAGAGTAGAATCTTAGGAGGACAAAGCGTATGACCTTCAGGTTCGGGAGACTGCTTTGT